TGCTTCAAGGTCAAAGACACAAAATGTTGACTTGAATAGGGATTATGATCACTTATTTATTTCTCAAATATTTACTACTTCCCAAATAAAGTTTTCATTATATATATATATATATATATATATATATATATATAGAGAGAGAGAGAGAGAGAGAGAGAGAGAGAAAGAGTAAAGTTCAAACGAGAACGCTAACTATATAAAAAAAACAAGAAAAAGGTCGTTAATGTAAAAAAACACATGTAAATTTATATTAACGTCAAAAAATGGAAGCGGACGACATTTGCAGCAACTTAAGTCGCGTGCAAAATCGTGTCGGATCATTTATGATTTTGTACGTGAATTATATATGATTTTGTATATTAACGACTTTTTTCTTATTTCTTAAATAGTTAGCTAGTATTCTCGTTTGAACTTTTATATATATATATATATATATATAGAGAGAGAGAGAGAGAGAGAGAGAGAGAGAGATGAGATTTACTTTGCAAACCGCGTTATTTGTACAAACCTCATTCAGTCAATCATAATTTTCCATTTTGTTCATTTTTTGTAATTATGAGAGATTGATTAATCATTTTTGTTGTGGAGAGTGTTAATCATGTATATTATTATCTTCATTGTATTAATTTTAGAGAAATACATGAAACAGTTTCATTAAAATTTCATAAGTATTATATGAAACAATTTCATAACCATATATGAAAAAACTTCATCAAAAAAAGTAGTATATAAAACAATTTCACAAGATTAAACAATTTAATGAAAAAAATTCATAAGATTAAACAATGAAATCGACAGATGAAAATGATTAGCACGGTTTGTATAAATATGAGTGGTTTGTATTTGATCGTTACTCTCTCTCTCTATATATATATATATGTGTGTGTGTGTGTGTATATATATATAGGGTTTATTTCAAATACAACCTATCGCATTTGTACAACCAATGCAACCCAATAAATTGAAATATTTATGGAAATGATTAGAGTTCATTTATTATAATTTAAATATTTATGGAAAATGAATACGGTTCATTAATTATGATTAATACTTTATATTAGAAAATAATCAAAATCTTTATAAAATCACATATTAATCAAATGAAATGGACGGTTGAAATTGGGTTGTATTGGTTGCACAAATGACCAGGGTTGTATAATAACCAACCTCTATATATATATATATATATCCGTCTCAGGACACGCTTTAAAAAACGTCATGATTTCATTATAACTCGTAATGCTTGAGATCGCCTTCACATCACATATTACGTGATTTAAAATCTTAAACCTACGACTTATAAATTTATGCATCAAATCAATGAACGTGGAGATGATAAATACCCATTAACATGAAATATTTTATAATTGGATGATGTGTCTCGCATTATAGTCATTTAAGACGCTTTTAGTGTTAATTATTATAGCTTATTAGGACACTTTTGTAGTATTACTTAATTCATTTTTTATAGGTCACTAAAATTTGTTTCATAATTATATAACTCATTAAGACACATATTTTTGTACTATATAATTGTTTCAGCGACATTAAATTTCGTTTTATAAAAGCATTTTTTGGTACGCTCATATTTGTTTTTAAATATAAACATTTTGTAACAACATAAAGTGTCCTATATTATAGTCTATTATGACACTTTTTAGTGTTACGTAAACTATTTTACATGACTATGGAATTTGTATTATAATCCTAGAGTTTTTTTTACACTCAAATTCATTCTATCTCATTAATCTAGTACTAACATAAGACACACATGTTTTTTTATCCTATAAACTTAAAATTCCTATTACCTACCTTATTAGAAAATAACGAGTTTCCTATATATAGTGCTACTTAATTATCGTTCAAATAAACTTCACTTTTCTTGGCTCTCTCTACAACCATGGACACCACCATCCTCATCTCCACCGTCGCCCTCCTCGCCACCGCCCTTTACTGGTTCGTCTGCATTTTCCGATCATCCCAACAAAATAGAAGATGTGCCGGCAATCTCTCTTTTGGCTCCATCCACCGTGAACAAGTCCACGACAAGTTCAACCAATATCTTTCTTTCTTCCATCACCCTAAACAGCTGACGGAGATGGCCGAAACAGTACCAGCTTTCGTCGACATCTTCTACGACCTCGTCACCGACATGTATGAACACCTATGGGGCCAGTCCTTCCATTTTTCACCTTCCATCCCTGGGAAATCGAACCTTGAATCCACCAGAATTCACGAACAGATGGCAGTAGATCTGATCGATGTTAAGCCTGGACAGAAGATCCTTGATGCCGGATGTGGTGTCGGAGGTCCGATGCGTGCGATCGCTGCACATTCAGGCTGTAATGTCGTCGGAATTACAATCAATGAGTATCAAGTGAGCCGAGAAAAGATCCTTAACGAGAAAGCAGGATTGGACAAACACTGCCAAGTGATTTGCGGCAACTTTCTACAAATTCCTTTTGAAAACGAGAGCTTCGATGGCGCATATTCAATCGAGGCGACTTGCCATGCACCCAAGTTGGATGATGTTTACAGCGAGATTTTTAGGGTTTTGAAGCCTGGATCGATGTATGTTTCTTATGAATGGGTGACTACTGAATTGTACCAAGGTGAAGATCCAAAACACGTGGAGATCATTCATGGCATCGAACGAGGCGACGCCTTGCCGGGGTTGAGGAGTTATTCCGATGTTGCGGAGGTGGCGAAGAAGGTGGGTTTTGAGGTGGTGAAGGAGAAAGATTTGGCAAAGGCACCGGCGAAACCTTGGTGGCGGAGGCTGAAGAAAGGAAGAATTGCTTATTGGAAGAAGCGTATTGTAATCATGCTGCTGGAGAAGCTCGGAATCGTGCCAAAAGGCACAGTCGCTGTTCATGAAATGTTGTTCGAGACGATGAAGTATCTCGTTAAGGGCGCAGAGGCCGGAATTTTCACTCCCATGCATTTGATTCTCTGCAGAAAACCTGTGAAACCGCAAGAAGCTTGATCATGGCTGCCATTGAGGTTTTAGATGAATAAAACATGTATGCACAGCACAATGCATTACAGCTGAATCTCAGATATCATGCATTAAAAACCTAATAATTGCGTACAATACACAACGTTAAAGAAAATGAATGTGTTTATACGGTTTTATTTCATATGTGTAACGTTTATGACTGGTTTCACATATAAAACAGTATGAATGTTTTATATATGAAATAATAACGTATAAAAAACATTGAATTTTCAAAACTGGTGTGTAGGTTTGTAAAATGGGTATATAAATGATTTTTTTTGGCTCTAGTCTCTCTCTCTATCTATCTATCTATCTATCCATCTATCTATCTATCTATCTATCTATCTATATATATATATAGAGGAGTGATCATATCAAAACCGCCTTCATTTGTGTAAATCGTACAAACCACCTTCATCTGTCGATTTCATTGTTTAATCTTATGAAATTTTTTCATGAAATTGTTTAATCTTGTGAAATTGTTTCATATAATACTTTTTTGATGAAGTTGTTTCATATATGGTTGTGAAATTGTTTCATATAATACTTAATGAAACTGTTTCATGTATTTCTCTAACATTAATGAAACTGTTTCATGTATTTCTCTAAAATTAAAATAATGAAGATGATAATATCTATGATTAACACCCTCCATAATAAAAATGATTAATCAATCTCTCATAATTACAAAAAAATGAACAAAATGAAAAATTATGATTGGTTGAATACGGTTTGCACGGTTTGTACAAATTGAGTGGTTTGCATTTGATCGCTCCCCTATATATATATATATATATATATATATATATATATATATATATATATATATATATGTTGGGAGGTTTAAATAAGATTATGTGAGAATATAAGAAAAAGGTTAATCCAAGGTTATATGTTAATAATTGAAAAAAATCATTTAAACCACAAGTGTAGTATCTGGTTGGTTTGAGCTTGAGCTCCAAAGGTCAAAAGTGTTTGGAGGTCTCAGGTTCATATCGAAGGAGGAATAAAAATTCTCTTGTGGCCACGTAGATTCAAATGCAGTGACTCCGAGCTACCGGCAAAGAAGGTGGTCGTCCTGGATTAGTCGGCTCGCATAGCGGGTTGGATATCCAGTTTAATAAAAAAAACTTAAATAACTTAATAGTTCACTTTTATGAAAAATTTAATTATCTAAAATAAATTAATATATTAATTAAATATGAATTTAAATTAATATATTCGTTAACGTAGAATTAATTAATTAATTAAATACACCTAATTAATTAACTAATTATTTAATTGCAAACCTAAAGCTCAAAGCCCAAAATCAAATTATGATTTTTAAGAAATAATAAGCCCAAAACTAATAATCCACTCAAGAGGGTTTGTTTTTAAATCAGGCCCAAAACCATTATTGAGTCGAGAACTTCAGCATCAGCACAACCAGTTGCTGCCGGTCAGTGATGGCCGGCCCGGCCCGTAACCACCAAGGGACCGGAACCGGGACCGGCAAGGACCGATCAAGGGGCCGCCGGTTATGATCCGGTTATGCTATTTGTCGTTTTTTGGGACCGAAACCGACCGGGACCGGGACTGGAAAACGCTGCAAACATTTTATTTTTATTTTTATTTTATTTCTTAATCTATTTTCACTGATTTTTTTTTTTAAAAAAATACTCATATTACAATTTCTCAACTCCAAAAACAAAAACCTTGAATTTTTTTTAACCATGGACTCTCGATTCTGAGTTTAAAGCTCGTTTTTTTATAAAATAACGAAACTAAAACTTAATCGTCAATTTAACGACTTTTCGACTACCCTTTCGGTCCCAAACTGATACCGTAAAAGTACTACGTATAGAAATTACCTCAAATCGACGTCAAACACCAAAACCCTAGCTTTTCTTCAACAACCGCTTTCTTGCTCCTTTCTTGTTCAAAACTTGCTTAGTCCAAAAGGCTTTTGTGCCTCACATTCCAACGTATTTATACCCGTATTTTCCAAGAAAAACAGTCCAAACTATGGGTGTAAATGATGCGAGTCGAACTCGAGTATCAAAATACTCGACTCGAACTCGATAACCATTTCTCGATCTCAACTCGAAAACTCGCGAGTAGTTAAAAACTAAACTTGACTCGAACTCGTTTAAAGCTCAAACTCCAACTCGAATCAAGCTCGAACTTGAACTCGAATCAAGCTCACCGATTGAAATTTATAAAAAAAATTAAGATATTCTCTTATAAATTATATAACTTAAAAGGTGTAATTTTAAATTTTATAAACTAAAGAGATGCACATCAAAATTTATCATCAAAAGACAAAGTTACAAACTCTATGTACCTCCTTCTCTTTTATAACACCTCTTCACCCTCTCTTTACTATATCTCTTCCAATGTTGGACAAGTTCACCAACAGTTCTATATTGAATTATAAAAAAATAATAATTTATTAGTTTTTATAATTAAAAAATGCACAAGTTTATTCAAATATCTAAAAAATATTATAAAACCTATTATATTTTGAAACTGCTTATATATAAAAAAAATCGAGTATCTCACGAGCTTTTCGAGTCGAGTATTGGGTAGCTTGACCCAACTCGTTAATATGTCGAGTTCGAATTTGAGTCGAGCCTATTTGAATCGAGTGTTAACCGAGACGATCTTGAATAGCTCGCAAGTTGTCTCGTGTCGTTTACACCCCTAGTCCAAATGATAGCCAACCGCGGCCTCCGTTAAGACAACAATTACATTTTTTTTTCCATCTCAAGAGTTTGCCCACTTGGCAAAAACAAGTCCCTGAAATTCCGGTTTTTACTCCTTTTGTCCAAACTGAAATTAATGTTTTTCCCTTTAAACTCCGTAATTTCTTTTCTTTTCTTTTTTAATTTTTGGAGTGTTACAATTCTCCCTCCCTTTAAGTACTTCTGCTCTAGGAATTATTTTGACCGAATAACTGAGGGTATTTAGTCCCCATCTCCTCCTCTCGTTCCTAAGTCATTTCCACTCCTTAATGAAATTTCATTTGACCAACACGAAAGGTATGTTGTTGTACAGTCTCTTAACTTTCCTATCCAACACTTGAACTGACTCCTTGATGTAAGTCAACCTTTCGTTAAGCCCGACTTCCCCTTAACTCACAACAGCTAATTCATCAGTTAAACATTTTTTTTAAATTTGATACATTAAATGTGTCTTGTATAGGTCTTAATTCTTCTCGTAACTTCAATCGATAAGCCACCACCCTTGCCCTCATGACAACCTCAAATGGTCCAATGTATCTTAGATTCAACTTACTCTCTTTCCAAAACTTATTATTCCCTTCCATGGCGATATCTTTAGTAACATTTTATCACCTACTTGAAACTCTAAAGGTCTACGTCTTTTATCCACATAACTCTTTTGTTTATCTTGTGTCACTTTTAACCTCTATCTTATTTGCAATATTTTATTCGATATTTTTTGAACTAATTCGGGTGCAGCTAGTTGTCTTTCTCCAACGTCGGTCCAACAAACTGAAGTTCTACATCGTATATGCTTCAAAAGCGCTGCTTTTATGCTGGAGTAGTAACTATTGTTATACGCAAACTCCACCAATGGAAGATGATTATCTCAACTACCTTCGAGGTCAATAAAACAAGCTCTGAGCATATCCTCAAATGTTTGTATCGTCCTCTCACTTTGACATCGGTTCGAGGATGAAACGTGGTACTCAAATTTAGTCGAGTTTCTTATTTCCTGTTGAAAACTTGCCCAAAATCTATGCTCATATCCCTGTCCGAGACAATCGATATTGGCACCCCATGCCTGAATACTATATCATTGATGTATAGTTGTGTTGATCGTTCTAATGTGTACTTTTCATTGATCGACAAAAAATGAGCAGATTTTGTTAGTCGGTCAACGATTATCCATGTTGCATCATTGTCCTTTTACTGTCTTCGATGGTTTGGTAAAAAAAATTCATCATTATCATATCCCACTTCCATGACAGGATTTCCATTTACTGCAACACTTATGACGGTTTTTGGTGCTTTGTTTTCAATTATAGACACACCAAACATTTTCCTACATACCTTGCTATCGCCTTTTTCATACCTGGCCACCACTAACTCCGTCTCAAATTCTTGTACATCTTGTCACTGCCAGGATGAATAGTATATTTGGACTTATGTGCCTCGTCCAAAATTATGTTCCTTAACTCGCCCAAATTAGGAATCCGTACCTGGTCCCTAAGCTTGTACACCCCATTTGGTCCATTTATCAATAGTTTGACTTGTCCGACCATCCTTTCCTTCTTAATGTTTGCTTTGAGTAATACTTTTTTCTAAGCGTCCTGTATTCGATCTATTAAATCCACCTTGACATGCATCTACATCATTTGAACTTCGATTGGTGTAACCTTTTCCTTTATACTTAACACATCGACAACTACATTTGCCTTGCTCGGATGGTAATGGATCTCATAATCATAATTCTTAAGCAACTACATCCACCTCCGTTGTCTCATATTCAAATCTTTCTGATCAAAAAGGTATTTCAAACTCTTATGATCCATACAAATCATATATTTTTTCCATATCATGAGTTGGATACTTTTTTTCAGGTTCGTTAAAGTGACTTGACGCATAAGAATAACTTTGCTCCTTTGCATCAGAATACGGCCCAACCCGATCTTGGAAGCATTGCTAAAGATAACAAAATTTTCCATCCCTTCTAGTAAGACTAACACCAATGTAGTACTTAATTTTTCCTTACACACTTTGAATGTCTTCTCTTGTTTCTCCTCCCAATTGAGCTTGACTGATTTTCTAGTTGAAGAATTCAATGGAGTCGGTATCTTGGCAAAGTCTTGAATAAATCTCTAAAAAAAGCCTACCAAGCCCAGAAAACTTCAGATTCCGATGCAAACTTTGGCGACTCCTAGTCCATAAATGCCTCGATCCTCCTAGTCCATAAATGCCTCGATCTTATCCAGGTCAACCTTAATCCCCTTCGCATTGACTACATGACCAAGGAACTTTTTCAACCAAAATTCACATTTTTGATAATTTGGCATATAACTGTTCTTTTGCAAAAAGCTTGAGAATCATTCTCTAGTGTTGTATGTGCTCCACTTTACTCTTCGAATAGATAAGGATGTCATCTATAAAGACTATGACAAGCTTATCTAGGTATGGCCCATAGACGTGATTCATTAAGTCTATGAATGTTGTAGGCGTGTTCGTTAACACAAATAGCATTACCACAAATTCGTAATGACCGTATTGTGTCCTGAAAGCTATCTTCGGATCCTCCTCTCAAACCTTCAATTGGTGATAACCCAATCTCAAATAAATCTTTGAGAACTGGCTGGCCCCTTGTAATTGGTCGAATAAATCGTCAGTTCTTGGCGTTTGATATCTATTCTTTATCGTGATCTTATTTAGTTCTCGTAATCGATACACATCCTTATAATATTGTCTTCGAAGTTCAACTTTTATCTTTCTAATGGATTTCAGTTGAGCCAAGGATCTAAACATCTCTTGGATGGACTGGTGCAACAGGTATGATTTCGATGACCGTCAATAGGTTGGTGATTTTTGGTATGGTCGTTAGCATTGGTTGGTTTCATTGTTGCTCAATTGGTCGTGCTTTGGTTTCATTTTATTATGTGTGTTAGCTTCCATTTCATCTTGTAGAATTCATGGCTTTTATTTTTCTTGTCTTGTCTTTAAAAAAAAAAAGTTATTACGATTAATATTTTATCTATATCATTTGACAAAAACTCTTAAAAATCATTCTTTATGCACAAAATACTGTTTATTGATGCATATTACTTAAAATTTAAGATTACAAGTAATTGTGCATAAGTACAACTTATTAAAACTTCATATTTGAATTCGTGTAACTAACTGCAGATAAACATTATCAAATAGTGGATAAACATCTCATTTTAAATATAGAAAATCTAAAATATAATTAGGATAATCATTGAATTCTAACAGAATACTTAGTTATTATCTTTATAAAAAATTATATCATCTATACTATATTATAAAACATTTGACAAAAACTTTTAAAAACCATTTTTTATACACAGAATACTGTTTATTGATGCATATTACTTAAAATTTAAGATTACAAGTAAATTATATGTAAGTACAACTTATTAAAGCTTTATGTTTGAATTCATATAACTAACTGGAGATAAACATAATAAAATAAACGATAAACATTTTATTTTAAATATAAAAAATCTAAAATATAACAAAAATAATTATTGAGTTCTAACATAATACTTAATTATTATCTTTATAAAATATATTTAACAATAAAAAATAATTTACTTCGTTATTAACCTTAAATTAAATTATAATTTAAAAAATTAACAAAAGAACGATAACTTTTTAATAGTTAATTTGATTCTAATTTCAATATATTTTTTTTCAAATTTTTATGATATCTTAAAATGTATATTTTGTTCAAAAATAAAAGCATTATCGTTTTTTCAAAACCACAAAAAATTGTATTATAACATCGATGGAGACAGATAATAAAACAAAACATTAAAATCAAGATGTATTTCGCTGTATTACGCGAATACCCTTCTAGTTAAATCTAAATTAAATTACTTCGTTACTAAACCTAAATTAAATTATAATTAAAAAAATGAATTAAGAAAATTACATCAAAACCAAGAAATTTAAAAAAAGTTAATTTGATATTGATATCAACATATTTTTTTTCAAAATTTATATTTTTTTCAAAAATCATTATCGCGTTCTCAAAATCATATAAAACCATATTATATCGATATAAAAAATATGAAATGAAACACTAAAATTAAAATATGTCTCGATATATTGTACGAATACCGTTCTAGTTTACATAAAAAATAAATTAAAATCAATATATATTTGACCCGAAAGAAAATTAATTTTAACTTTTATATATATGAAATTATTTTATAGGAATTTAGCAGGAAAGTTAAAAAGAGAAGATCAACACCGAAGTCATCGACCATAAAAGCCTCACTTGCTTACACAGTTCCTTCCCAATCTCTACCACCATGGACTCCATAGCTATCGTCTGCACCGCTTCTCTCCTCGCCGGCGGTATCTACTGGTTCGTCTGCATGCTCGGAGCTGCCGAGCAAAAGGGAAAACGTGCCGTCGATCTCTCAGGTGGCTCAATCGACCGTGAACAAGTCCAAGAGAATTACAATCAGTACTGGTCTTTCTTCCGTCGCCCTAAAGAGATTGAGACGGCCGAAAAAGTTCCCGCCTTTGTCGACACCTTCTACAATCTCGTTACCGACATCTATGAGTGGGGATGGGGTCAGTCGTTTCATTTTTCACCTTCGATTCCCGGTAAATCGAACCTTGAATCGACCAAAATCCACGAAGAAATGGCTGTAGATCTGATCGGTGTAAAACCTGGCCAGAAGATCCTCGATGCAGGATGCGGTGTCGGAGGTCCGATGCGTGCAATCGCCGCTCATTCTGGTTGTAATGTTGTTGGAATTACGATCAATGAGTATCAAGTGAGCCGAGCCAAAGCTCACAACAAGAAAGCCGGATTGGACAAGCTATGCGACGTCGTTTGCGGGAACTTTCTAGAAATGCCTTTTGAAGACGAGAGTTTCGATGGTGCGTACTCGATCGAAGCGACTTGCCACGCGCCCAAGCTGGAAGATGTTTATAGAGAAATCTTTAGGGTTTTGAAGCCTGGATCGATGTATGTATCTTACGAATGGGTGACTACCGAATTGTATCGAGGTGAAGATCCAGAACACGTGGATATCATTCAGGGGATCGAAAGAGGTGATGCGTTACCGGGATTGAGGAATTACTCCGATATTGCCACCGCGGCGAAGAAGGTAGGGTTTGAGGTGGTTAAGGAGAAGGATTTGGCAAAGCCACCGGCAAAACCATGGTGGTCGAGGCTGAAGATGGGAAGACTTGCTTATTGGAGGAACCATATAGTAGTGATGGTGCTCGAGACGCTGGGGGTTGCACCCAAAGGCACGGTGGATGTTCACGAAATGCTCTTTAAGACGGCGGATTATCTCACTAGGGGCGGGGAAACCGGGATTTTCACTCCGATGCATATGATACTCTGCAGAAAACCAGAGAAATCAAATTAAGCTTTGATCAATCAGCAGTCTTTGAGGTTTATTCTCGATGCCAATAGTTTGTTTTTGTGAAACCTTAGCTCTTTTGTGCCTTCTATCTTCTTAATTATTAGTTCAATTTTCTGTTTTAAATTAATCATGGTAAGATCTGAATCTTTACCCAATTTGTGGAATCTTGAAGATCATGGTGTTTTCCTTTTCTGTTTTTGAATTTATTGAAGGGTATGTCCAGGGTGCCTATTTGAGGGTTAGATATTCAAATTTGGGCATAATAAGTGAATTAGATTGGATTGCTCTTTTCCAAATTTTAAGATATGGACAATTGGACATAGTAATCTTGGATTTGATCTGATTTTGCTGGCAATATATAGGTGTAAACCTACTGTCACTGTCTTGTAGCTGATGGGGTAGCTTATAAACATTTATTTCGGCATTCAATGTCTTGAAAAGTAATGCCAGTAAGCATGTTTGGATCATAATCTTGAAATTTATATATCTAGATGGAGCTCATAAGTGAGGTGGGTCCTGATTATGGACTTATGGTATTAGAAGTTCTAGTTTGCATAATGTAGGATGAAGGAAAATAATACAAGCAATTGCCAATGGGGTTATGTAAAGATTAGACTTTGATGGTTTCTAGTTGATAAATCTGCTGGTTACAGATGAATCTTACTTTACTTCAAAAGAATTGGTCTACAAAATTAATGATATTGGAGGTTGATTAGTCATCTGGGCTCCATGGGGGGTCATTGTGTTGTGTCTGCCAATTTACTTGATAAGATTAAACATTTGTGGGTGGCATTGTGTTCTTTGATGCTAAATGGCCATTAAAGATTAAATTTTTATCTTCTTTAAGCTGGTTTGAACGTGGTGGTTCATAAAAAATGTGCTTCTTTTGGCTACTATGAAGACAGTTGACAGTAATTATCATGGTGAGATAAACCATTGGATCTACATCTACTTTAGGAGATTCTGTTTTTGACAATGAAGGAATCTTTGAGTTCTTTAATTTTGAAGTACAAAACAGATTGAAAAACTGATCATATTTTCATAAGTCGAGTAAATAGTCACTGGCTTATTGCATTAAGTTTGTAGGGACTAGTAGCTCCTTCAAAGGGGGACAGAGGGTGGGTGGGGGTGGGCTAGATAGCTTAGCAGTATCCTAGTATACAGTTAGAGGATTCTTTGTTTGGTTGTTGGGAGTTCACCATCTTGGGTTCCTCAAATACCCTTCCAAAATCTTCAAAGCTTTGAAAAATTACTTCAAGTAGAGTTTCAATAAGCTACAGGAACCTTTTCCATAGTATTTTTTAGGTTCTTTTAAATTGTCATCTAGCTTATCAGTTAACTTTTATCAGACATGACTTATTTATATATTAATTTTTCAGTTAATTTATTAAACATGACTTGTAAATATGTAGTTTTCATGCATTAATTATCATCAACAATGGGAAAAGATGCTTGTCACATGACATGTGTAATTAGAATAGTAGCCAACTCATCCAACACATATATCTTTGTCGTTTGAAACACAATTAAGATTCTTATAATATGTTTATGTACTCTTGGTTGTTTAACTTGTTTAGTTTCAAGATAATAGCACCCATGACATGTGCCATGCCCTTCGTTTAGGAATACAATATAATCATTTGCAGATCTCAATAACCCTTCTTTGAGCTGGATCCAACAAAATTTAAGAAAAAAACCTATTTAATAGGTAGATCAAGGATCGTGTGAGAATAGAAGATAAGGGGAGAAGCGTAAGAAAGGATTTGGATCCAGAGCACTTTTAATCTCAAATCAATCCATGAATTACGGTTTAGAAGGGATTTGATTTGGTACTTCTTCTTAATGTTGATCTAGTGGAACTCTTTAATTAGGATTGATAAGGGTGGAGATCCATTTTTACCTTTCTCACCATAATTCTTATTCTCACCGGAACCCAATCCTTAACAGGTAATATGTTGTAGTTTAAACTGTAATGTTGGTGCTTTATTTGGCCATGTGGCATCTTGATTTTGTGGGGATTATTTATGTTATAGTCCTACATCGGCTAAAGACTAGGGGTGTTCATTATGGTTAGTAGGGAAAATGTGAACCAAACTGCATGAGGTGAAGTGGTGAACGTAGGTTGAACTGAACCGAATTGAGGCTATTACACGTCGCTTGGTTCACAGTTACCTGGATTTAAAAAATTATATCATTTGAAATATAAAAAGAAATACTAAAATAGAACATTTAAACAAACTAAACAATGCAAAAGTTACAAATTAAAATAAGTTTGTGTTCAACATCTTCACATATCAACGTCAGGGGCGGATTTAGGGAGAGAGGGGCACCGGTGTTGCCATTCTATCATGCCGACATAGTGGAAATTCTTTTGAGCGTATTACAGTGTATAGACTTCAAATTTATTTTTTGTTCTTCTGAACATAGTTGTTAAAGGCGTGTTTGAGGCGCGCCTAGACTCTAGGGCTCATAAGGCTCAAGGTTTTGGGCTTTTTTCAAGTCAAGGCTCGGTGTATTCACAAGGCTCACTAAGGCACTGGACTTTGGTTGAGGCGCCTTGTGGGCCTACCTAGGCGCGCCTCATAAAGAGTTAGCAAATACCTGGTTAAACAAAGATTAAATAAGTTCCCTCATCTTCTCATCTCCTAAACTTGAAAAAGAGTTATCAAATAGATGACACAAGTCAAACCATAATATTAAATATGCATTCCTTAGAACTCCAAGCCTCCTCTAAATACCCAAACCTTAAAACTTCTCTTTTACGGCTCATGCTTTAAACTCTTATGCGCCTTCTGACTCTATCAAACTTATGTAGGTTGTTACATTGGAGGTTTGTGCATATCTGAGTTGTGTAACTATGTGTGTATGTGTGTGTGTATATATGTATATATATATAGGGTTGGGTTCCGATGAGAAAGGAAATTATGGTGAGAAGCGTCTCCACCCTTGTAACAATCCTAATTGAATGTCAACACTAATGAGGTGCACTGAGATACACAGGATCAATTCTCTTCTAAAGTGTAAGTCATGGGCAGACATGAGAATTAAAGTGATCAAAGGTTCAGATCTTTTCTTACGTTTATCACCATAACTTCCCTTCTCATACGATCTTTCATCCATATATATATATATATATATATATATATATATATATATATATATAATATTGATAAGATGCGACTCGCATTCCTGAGGCCCCCGCCTCACTCCTGCTGCCTAGGCTCCTAGGCTCCAGGACCCCTTATAGCGCCTCTTGAATCTTTAACAACTTTGCTTATGAGCCAACAAAAAGTGGTTACTGACATTGCATATATTATCTTCAATCCACTTCTCTTTATGCAAGTGCATATACTTTTTTACACAAATTTGTACCTTTTTATGCAAATGTCCATTTTTTTCTTTTAAAAAAAAAAATACGGTGTCACAAATATACAAACCATTTATATAAAGAATAACTGATTTGAAAAACAACTTGAAAATATAACAAAAAAATGAATGGGAAAGACGAAATTGATTATTTTAGTCAGTTTTCCTTTTTTTTTTGTTGTTGCATATAGTAGAAACTTGGTAAGGCATAAGAGTAGTTGGAATAAAGCTTTAAATGTAGTAAAGAAGGGGTTGAAGGTGGTGGTTGTTGTCATGAAGCAATAAATGCCACAAGAACAATAAACTTAGGTTTTGGTACAAGTTTTAATGCAGGGTGTACAACACAGAAAATGATGATCCAAGAAAACCCCATTTTGGAATTGATTCTATTGCATATATTTGAGAAAAAAAGTGTCATTCCCGGCCATCTTAACTAGCCCCACACGAAACCTGCATCTAAGGCTCCAACACTGTATGGGGACGTTTTTTGGTTCATTTAGCGACTGACGCTGGCAGGGGGCGTGGAATCGAACCCATGACCTGTTCTGTATTTGAGTAAAATCATCATGCTTCTTTGCCAACTGAACTATACGTCAGAGGCATTATATTGCATATATTATACACAAACTCAGTCTTTAGAAAATGGAATTTTCCATTGGGAATTGGTGACTTTTACATTCCCATGATGGGAATTTGTGGTGGGGCTACGGTGGTCGTAAGGGTGGGGGTAAGGTGGTGGCCAGTTGGGGTGGTGAAAGAGGCACATGTGGTTTTGGTTGTGTTGTCCAGCTCTTTGCATGTGCTCTGTTTCTTTCAAAACAACTGACTTTTTGTCTCAGATGTCTTCTGGTGAAAGTTTGTTAATTCATTAAGAATTTAATAAAATATAAAAAACGGTTAAATTACATGTGATTCTATTAACAACACGTCGTAAAGGGTGGCGCTTACCAGTCATCGCACATGTGACCAAGTCGGCTGTGTTCTTTTGAGTGTGTTATAAATCACATGTGATTTGACCATTCTCACATTTCTCATAAGTTGACCGTTTTCTCGTTTGAACTCGTCCCTATAATTATATCCATACATAATTTCCATCTGATTATCGAGTCAAATAGCAAGTTATTTGGAATCGGTCCAAAAATTAGTTCCAAAATAGTGTTTGAACTCGATCTTTTTAATGTTTGAGATCGAGCACGAATTTCATTTAACCCGGAAGCTAAAATTTAATTTTTTATATTAAACAAGCTTTATTTTTATTCGAAGTTGACGTGATCTGTATATATGTACCCATATAGATATGTCGTATGTGTGATTTGGACCACATTAAAAGTGGTCACGATACTTCTAAAATGGTGGTCCTAAGAGTATCTCTAATGGAAATGAAAGGTTCTGGAGCGACTTACAAAAAATATCATCAATGAGAGTTTTTATCAGTTAAAAGTCAGTCATATTTTTGAAATTATTATACAAAAATCTTGGTTCTTATTTTAATTTTTTTATATTACTGATGTTGAAATAATGCACGAGACCCACAAGAAGAGGTTCTTATTAATCAATATTGTTGTGCAGTTTTATGGTAGTTTTTAATTTGTTTAGTTGACGATGATGAAACAAAAAATGCATACAATATATTACAGATGCTTTAATCAGAAGAAAAGAAATCACTTATTGCTTATTTTGTGTTTTTCTAATCAAATTTCGACATGTGTAAAAGTATGAGATCGATTTAGTGGATACATAACAATCTACTTTTATAAATTTTCTTATTATAGAATTGTACTTTTAGATTTTCTTATTACAACAATGTACTTTCAAATTATTTTTTATTCGAACATTATACTTTGAAAAAT